TGTTCGTGGCCTGAATGGCCCTTATATGAATGGAAGATAGACCATAACATAGAATTTCCATCAATTTCTAAGAATCTGACTTTCATTTTTAGAAGCAACTTGATTTATAACTCCCAATGAATATGGAGGAAAATGTAGAAAATTGTGTGCCAATTTCTGCAAATTACCAGAATATAATCCTAGCCTGGGCAACCCAAAATCCAATCGTAATGCAGGAGTGACTACATGCTTTGTTGCAGATCTCAGAAGCTTTTCACCACCATCTTTCTGTCCACAAGGAATTTGGAAAGTATGATTTCTAGTCCTTGCCTCTATTCCTAAAATAGAAACCTGGAGCTTTATATCATTTTGCCTAAAACTAGAGACTTGTTTTCAAAAGACCTTCAAGGTCCTATTTGAGTCCCTTATTTACTGAACAACTTCAGATTGCTTCATCACTGGCATTAAATCTTGCGGCTATGTAGTAAGTAACCAGAAGAGTATTTTGCTTCCGAGAAGGAGTCCTTGAACATTATCTGCCAACATCCAAACAGTCTAGTCATTGTATCTTGCAACAACTTAAACTTCTGAACAGTCTTCAGAGACGACCCCACTCAGATGGCACTGTAGAAGCTCATCCTGAATATGATGGTAACATGGGTAACTGGCAAAAATCACACCTCTCGAGGTCCAGTCATGGGTAGCAAACCATCTGAAGCTGCTATGTATTAAACATAGCAAATTTCTGCTGTCACCTCTATTCTCAGATGTAAAAGCAACCTCAGACTGTGAACCTGCTCATTAAGGAGGCGTTCAACCCCATCCAGAACAGGCTAACACCAAAACCCCCAACTGCACTTATCATCTATCAACAACACCTCATATTCAGTTATGTGCTATATTTTCCATGGAAGATTTTCTACCTCACATACGTAAATATAATCTGTTTATCTATGGTCATCAGAGCTGTTATGCTGCAAATCAATCATGTTAAATGAGCTAAACATGGGATATGAAGCACAGAGGAAGCCCAGTGCCTGCATATGATCCAGACTTTCACATGATGCATGTGCCTTCTTTTGCTAATATTAAATCTTACTAACATTATTTAAACATTTAAATATTACTTAAAATTGAATTGGAAATTTCCCCCAAAAAGATTCTAAGAACATAAGAGAAGCCAATGTTGGATCAGGCCAATGGCCCATCCTGTCCAACAGTCTGTCACACAGTGGCCAAAAATACCAGGTGCCATCAGGAGGTCCAGCAGTAGGGCCAGGACACTAGAAGCCCTCCCACTGTTGACCCTCCCAAGCACCAAGAATACAGAGCATCACTTGCCCCAGAGTCCCTATCTATACCTTGTGGCTAATAGCCACCAATGGACCTCTGCTCCATATGCTTACTTAATTCCCTCTTGAAGCCGTCCATGTTTGTAGCCGCCACTACCTCCTGTGGCAGTGAATTCCATGTGTTAATCACTCTTTGGGTGAAGAAGTACTTCCTTTTATCTGTTCTAACCCAACCACTCAGCGATTTCATGGAGTGCCCACGAGTTCTTGTATTGTGAGAAAGGGAGAAAAGTACCTCTTTCTCTACCTGCTCTATCCCATGCATAATCCTACAAACCTCAATCATGTCACCCCACAGTTGTCGTTTCTCCAAGATAAAGAGCCCCAAGTGCTTTAACCATTCTTCACAGGGAAAGTGTTCCAACCCTTTTATCATTCGAGTTGCCCTTTTCTGCATTTTTTCCAAAGCTATAATATCCTTTTAAGGTGTGGTCACCAGAACTGTATACAGTATTCCTAATAAGGTCACACCATTGATTTATATAGGGACATTCTGATTCATTTTTTTCCTGGAAAACCTACATCATCACTCATATTGCTTGCTCTGAGCTTCAGTTTATTGGTTCTCATCAGCATTACTGATTCCAGACAACAACTCTTGGCATCTAGTGTCTCACTTGATTAATCTGAAGAATTGGATTTCCTCCACCTCCTAATGATACCTCATTCCAAATCCCTCAACAACTTCTCCCACCAGCTGTATGCAAATATTGAACACAGGGACAGAACAGAACCCCTTTGGAACTCTATAAGCCATGTGACTAATTAGTTGTATCCAGTTCCAACTTCTGAAACCAGTTACCCAGGGGTCATTTTGTAGAAAAAGAACTAGGGGAACTCATTAGCATATGCCACACCCCCTGACATCACCGGAAGTGTGTCATAAGGCCACACCCCCTGACATCACCAGAAGTGTGTCATGAGGCCACACCCCCAAGCACCAAGAACGCAGAGCATCACTGCTCCAGAGATAAGAACATAAGAGAAGCCATGCTGGATCAGGCAGGTGGCCCATCCAGTCCAACACACTGTGTCACACATGGGCCAAAAATACGGAGATCCACCAGCGGGGCCTGAAATCCAGAAGCCCCCCCACTCTTGCCCCCCCCCAAACACCAAGAATGCAGAGCATCACTTGCACCAGCCTGAGAGTTCCTATCTATACCTTGTGGCTAATAGCCACGGATGCACTTCTGTTCCATATGTTTATCCATAAGAACAGAAGAGAAGCCAGTGTTGGATCAGGCCAATGGCCCCTCCAGTCCAACACTCTGTTGTCACACAGTGGTCAGAAATACCGGGGGCCATCAGGAGGTCCAGCAGTGGGGCCAGGGCACTAGAAGCCCAATTCTGCACCCTCCCTGCTTCCTTCACTATTTCTTTCTACACTGTCTCGCACCCCCCCACCCCAAGGCCTGAAGCCAGCCTCAAAACCGGCTCCCACCGTTCAGCCCTTGAGCTGGCAGAGAGCTGTTCTTTGCAGCCAGTGGGTAGAAATCCCAAAGCAGCAAACCCCGCTTGCTGGGCTCTTTCCTTCCCATGGCAGGCAGTTCCGCAGGACCAGCATGCACAAGCCCTGCGGCGGGCCACCCTGTGTGACGTCAACCCCCCGACCGAATCCCCGTCCCAGCTGAGCTCAGCTCAAGCCCCGCCCGGTGAGGGTCTGATCCAGAGATCCCTCTAAGCTGAGTTAGTGTGAGCTAGTGTTAGCTCAGAGTTTTCTAGCCTCTGGCTCACACATTTTTGTCTCGGCTGCTTCCAGGCTCCTTCGAGGGGGCTGGGAGTCCTTGCCGAGGCCACGTGGAGTGGCCTCGGCCAGGCAGAGGGGGAGGACGCCAACTTACCCTCCTGCTTCTTCCTCCTGCAACAGAATGAGGCTAGAAGCAGGGGGCGGCCGGAAGAGGGGGGCGGGGCTTCATCATGTGCCCCGCCCCCGCCCCTCACTGGGGGAACGGCGTTCCCCCGCGCTCCCCCCCAAACGACCTCTGCCAGTCACACAGTAATAACCCGTGTGCTGTGGTGGCACCTGCTGCCAAAGCAACATTTTTAAACATCTGCACAGCCACTGAAAATCCTTGCTGGGCAAAAGCCCCACCTGGCTCCGCCCACAATCTAAAAGCTCTTGGCGGGCGCTAGAAGGGGTGGCGGCGGGCACCTTGGCATCCATGGGCACCATGCTGGCGACCCCTGTTTTAGATCCCACGGGGCAAACCAAAAGGCAACCGAGTAACCAGCCCACTTAAGGACTCCAGCAGCCCCCACTGCTGTAACACGAAGTGATCCAGGGTAGAAACTCCAGGACACATCCAAGCGGCTGCACTAGTTGAGGGAAACCTTTGTGAGGACTGAGTCTCCACCCACTTTCGGATTTTTAGGATCGTGCCTATCGATTCCCAGAGCTGGGGTTTTTTTTATTGTTTTGATTTTAGCCAAGGAAAGTCATTGCAAAAAGGAAGCAGAACCGCAAGACAGAAAGTGGGCAAAAATGACGTTTTGCAGCTAAATACATGTAGGGCGAGGCAGAGATCTTTCTATTTCTATTTATTTATTTGACTTATACCCCGCCCTCCCCGCCGAAGCCGGCTCTCACCAACAACTGTGCGAACAGCGGCAACACCCCGGTGGAGAGCTTGATGCGGCACTGGATTTTGAACCTGTTGGCAAAAGACGGCTGATTTCAACGTGGGCTTTTTGAGAAAGGAGAGACGGCCTCAAGGGCAGGGAGGCATTGCCGAGCCTCTCCAATCTGCTTTTCTCCCGCGTGCCTTAAAAATGACATCAAGTTATAGGAATCGATAAGAAGGAGCTGAAAGGGGGCCAATATGCGATGCACTTCACAGCCACCGCACCTTTTGTCAAGCCGGAGAGACGAGGAAGGAGCCGGTGGAAGACTTTATGAGTTCGGCTGCCTTAGGGGACTGAAAAAGGGGGGGGGGAACAGGCTCCTCTAGCGTTGACTCAGGAGGCAAAGTCAGAGAAGTCCCTTAGAAGACAACCCGACTCCAACTGCACAAGTCAAGGCCACTTGGACACGACAGGCTGCCATCTCGGTCCTCTGCCATGGGTCCGGGAGCCTTTCGAAGGAGCATTTACGCATCTGCTACCGTCATCACTGAAACAGGGTGCGGGAAGTCAGGGCTGGTTTCAGCACGACCTGAGGTGTGGCGGCTACCAGGGCTCAGGCCTTCCGGTGGTGCCCGCTGTCACAACCCCCCCCCCACCCCAACTCACATGTCCACAAGCCCTTCCCTACCCATTTGCTTGCAAGCACTCCGCCACCCACGCTCCCGGCACTACTAGGGAAGTGCATGCGGGTGGTGCCCAGTGGCAGCACACCTGGCGGCCACAGCAGCTGCACCCACCAGCTGGTGCTATTGGGGAGGGCACGGATGTGGTGCAGGCATTCGTGAGCACAGGTGGTGTGAGGAGAAGGATTCAGTCAGGTAGGAACACACATGGGTGGATGGGTGGAAGGGGAGGCATGGGGGGGGGCTTCGGTAGTGGGCAAAAGGGGGCCCCTGGCCGCTGCCTGCCCCGGGCCCCTCAAAACCAAGAGCTGCCACCGGTGGAAGGCCCGCTTGGCCGACAGCCTCTGTATCTGCCATGAATGCCAGGGGGAACGCCAAAGCCAGAACTCCGGGTTACTGTGAAGTTCAGAAACAATGCAGCTTACTTCTCTTCCATGATGAGGCTGGTCAGCAGGTTCATCGCGTAACTAGCTCTGCTGTCAAACACACTGACAAAGGACATCAACGTCTGCAGCCACCTAAAAAAGAAAGTGGCGCACCTCGGCTCAGCGAGGCAAGAAAGGCCATCAGCAGCTCACGTTCTGAGGCAGCGGCATGGCCAAACCTGCAGAGTGATGCCTGTACACAGCGGGGGCGCCAGGTGTCTCAAGAGCAATGTTCCCTCTAAGCTGAGTTAGTGTGAGCTAGCTCACAGGTTTTTAGCCTCTGGCTCATACATTTTTGTCTTCGCTCAGGAAGGAGGGCTCCAGAGCAAACTAATTTATGCAGTAGGCAAATCACTTGCTCGCTTCAATGCCGGTCCCACAAAGTAGATTTTTTGCTCACAAGACTCCACAGCTTAGAGGGAGCATTGCTCAGGAGGCCACTCAGGTGTCTCAAGCAAGCAGGAGGAGGGCACTCCTGTGCACAGCCCAAGAAAGAATCCAAGATGAGCTGCCCGAAACCCAGGGCAAACCTGGCATCATAAAGTAAGCCTGGGGGTATGTGTGTGTGTGTGGATCTGAAGGGCCACTGACCCCACACTATGCTCACAGTAAAACATTCGAGACAGCCACTTTTCCACATGCAAAATGGCAGTCTGAGGAACGCCAAGGCACCTTGCCCTCACGTGAAAAAGGGCAGCTGAACCAGCCTGACCCAGGCGTGTCATGAAGAGATTTATTGTCCTACACAGACAGAGCACTGGGATGGCAACTGGCCCGCTGCAAAAGTGGACAAAAGGGGCGGACTCACTAACATTTCCACTTGCTGCCTGAATGACATATCTTTTTTTAAATGCAGGAGGTGTTGGGAGCATAATTTATAAATTTGTGGCCAAGCGTTGGAAAACCCTTTCCTTTGTCTGTTATTTCAAACGGCTGCACTGAAATACGGCATTTTTCGAGGTGTGAAAGGGGGGGAGGGGAGAAAAATGGACAAGTTAGAAACAGCGTGGCTGCGCTGGGCGTATCTTTCCTTCATTAATTCTCTTCAGTGACTGACTGAAATTCCAATTACCGGGTACACATCTGCACAGGCAGGAAGTTCAAGGTGTACAAAAGAGAAGTGATAAGACGGTGCAAATGAAGAGCCAGGTGGACATTAACTGTTTCTTCCCTCCAACTCATGGTGAACGTTAACAGTTTGTCCAGAATATGCATTTATGTTAATAAGCTTGAGACCGTCGCTGCAGAAATGTGTTTTTGGGGCATGAAAACCCTAACATCTCTTGCAAAAAGTAAAAGGTCTTCTACCCCTCCTGCTTGACTCAGCCAAAGGAGGAGACTGTCAGCTGGGCCTTTCTCAAACTCTAGAAGCCAAAAATGAGAGATCACGGAAGGAAGTGGAATTCCAGAAACAACATCCGTGACAAAAATAACGAAGAGTCAATAAAGATAAGTTGCAAAGAGGTTTACTGTAGAAATTTTTCTTCTATTATCGCTCACACACTAACGAATGCTGCGCAATGAACAATCCGTTTCACAATATTGGCTTTATTGGAGCATGTAGCGATCCCAATTCTTATCAATTACTACTTATCAACCCTTGAAGGAAACATTCCCTGTTGACTCTTTAATAACAGAACCCAAGGTCTTCGCAAGATGGGGAAGGGAAAGCAAGGCATTTAAATCCCCCCCCCCTTCCCCGAGTTTCTCCACAAAAGCAGAGAGGCTCAGGGGGAAATAGGGGGCATGTCTGCCTGCCTCCCCTTTCCTTCCCCAGCCAAACCGATGCCTGGGCTTGTTACTCCCGGAACGCCATTCCGGGTTGTTCCCCCCCGAAATGACCCCTGAGGGTGGCTATTCCACCCTTCTGCCGAATGTTCGGCTATAAGCACACAACAGACTCTGGATTCAAACAGGACGCATACTTGGTTAGGTCCAGGTGTCTGAGAAGCAGGTTCCTCCCGTGCTCTGTCTGCGCATAGAGGGACAGCAGGACCAAGCACTGTTCCTGGATTTCGGGCACCTCGGAGAGCAGCAGAGTGGGAAGCTGTGAGTTCACGTAGGGGTGAGTCAGAAGCAGGCGCTGGTTCTCCTCTGAAAAGGGGAAAAGGGGAATGGTTGGCCTGCCGAACCAGATGCCGTGAGAGGCTTTACCAGCACTGGCATCCGCTATTCAGGAAATCACTCAGCTGGGAGAACACTGTTCTCTTTCTGCTCAAGGGTCCGATCCATGGGAGTGACAGGAAGGCAAGAGTGTGCTGCCTGCGCTCTCTCTTGCTCACCTTCTCCTCTCTATCTCCCTCCCCCCTCCCATTTCTAAAGGGCAGATTATGTAACTTAGACATGCACGGCAAGCTATTCTCATCTCCTTTAGTTCCACCTTTCAAGCTTCATTTCAGGACACAAGAAGTGTGAACTAAAGCAGATTTTGGCAGCTTCACGCCCCAGAAGTTAATATATTCCCCCTTTTCTCTCCCCCTCTCTTTTCCGAAGCTGAAAGAAATACCAGTCCTGCTGTTCCGCTTGTATTCTGCATCCCTTTCACTCTGAGACCTTCACAGACACCTTAAACCAGGCCTGAGTCACAAAAGTGGCACGGAGATGAAGCTACAAGACCTTCATTGCAAGATGGATCTTGAGGCAAGCTGGCATTAGAAAAGTCATGTAAACGCTGAGGCTCAACTTCTTTGGCTTCAGAGAAAATACACTTTCACAAAATCCCCCCACACACAAACACACCACTCTTCCAACTCTTTCTGTGGTCCTGGCAGTGATGGCAAATGGGGTGGGTCTCTGGCTCAGGGGAAGAGCCTGTATTTTGCGTGCAGAGGCTCCTGTGTTCAATCCCCAGTATCTCCCGTTCAAAGGACCAGGGAGCAGGCGATGTGAAAGACCTTTGCTTGGGATCCTAGAGAGCTGCTGCCAGGCTGAGTAGACAATGCTGGCCTTGATGGACCAAGGGCCTGATTCCGGTATAAGGGAGCTTCACATGTCATCTAGAGGATGGTGTGGAGTAGTTTTCTGTTGCCCCAGAAGGTAGGACCAAGACCAACGGGTTGAAATTGAATCAGAAATGTTTTCGGCTAAACATTAGGAAGAACGTCCTGCCCGTTAGAGAAGAGTGGTTCCTCGGTGGAACAGGCTTCCCCGGGAGGTGGTGGGCTCTCCCTCTTTGGAGGTTTTCAAACAGAGGCTCGATGGCCATCTGACAGCAATGCTAGTTCTGTGAACTTAGGCAGATCACGAGAAGGGAGGGCAGGGAGGGTTGCCTCAGTGCTTAGTTCTTGTGGCCCTTTCTTACATGCCCAGGGAAATGCTGATTGCCACTTTGGGGTCAGGAAGCAATCCTGGAGGGTTTTTGTCATCTTCTGGGCGTGTGGAGGGGGAGGTATTTGTGAATTTCTTGCCTTGTGCAGGGGGTTGGACTAGATGACCGTGGAGGTCCCTTCCAACTCTATGATTCTATGTGCTCCCCCCTGCCTCCAGGCACTGATTTTTTTCTCTCTCAGTGTTATAACAAGAGGCGATACTGAAAGCAAGAGACACTGATACAGCTTCAGAGATGGAGTGTCAGTGCTTCCTCCTCTCATTTTGATTTTGAGATGACATCACATAATCACCAACATATTTGGTGCTGGGGGGGGACAGTGGGAGGGCTTCTGCAGTTCTGGCCCCGATGGCAGATCTCCTGGTGGCACCTGGGGTTTTTTTGGTCACGGTGTGACACAGGGTGTTGGACTGGAGGGGCCACTGGCCTGATCCTACGTGGCTTCTCTTATGATCTCTTATGACCCACATGATGACACTGGAAACCAGAACACCACCAGAGCCCTGCTTCCTGCCTTTGTGTTGTGCTCCTGTGGTAAGAACATAAGAACACAAGAGAAGCCAATGCTGGATCAGGCCCATCCTGTCCAACATTCCTGTCACACAGTGGCCAAAAATATCAGGTGCCATCAGGAGGTCCAGGACACTAGAAGCCCTCCCTCTGTCGCCCCCCCCCCCAGCACCAAGAATACAGAGCATCCCTTGCCCCAGACCGAGAGTTCCTATCTATACCTTGTGGCTAATAGCCACGGATGGACCTCTGTTCCATATGCTTATCTAATTCCCTCCTGAACCTGTCCATGCTTGTAGCCGCCGCCACCTCCTGTGGCAGTGAATTCCAAGTAAAGCAAAAAATTGTGCCCTAGAGAACTGATGCTACTGCCTATAAGTAGGGCGAAGACTTTGACCCTTTTAGGAGACACACACACCCCAATTTCTAAAAGGGGAACCTCAATTTGCAGCCTGTAAACACGGTGACAAAGTTGGATGGGGTTATTCTGTCTTAGTTCTAGCAAAATCCACCTCTGGTGATAATCCTACCTGACACAGGGGGATTACTTTGCTGCACTGCTTGCATTAGCTGAAAAGAACGTGGACTTCTAGACGCCTGCTAAGGAAGTGCGTCTGTCATCCTAGCGCACTCCCAGCACAGGCTGAAAAGCGAGAGAGATCTCTGCGGTGGAAGTTCCCTCTGAGCCACTTGGAAAGGTTTAATAGACATGACTGGGGCAGGGGGAAGGGGGGGGATCCCTGGGATCACCGCTAATGCTGCGTGCTTGCTGTCATGACGTCTGACCTGCAAATCTCTGGCGTGAAGCGAGTTCTGGGCATCAGGACCACACATGGGGGTGATACTCATTGACAAAAATGCTCTCCAGCACAGCCAGGGTCATTTTAGTAGCACATTAACAGCGATTCACGTTGATTACCGTTCCCTTTGCAGATGGCTTGCCACAGGAGGATA